GTCAGCGACTTTGAGAATCTTTTATCATTCGAATCAATTGATAAACGTAGAATTGAGATAAACTTCAAATCTATAAAAAGTTAGCAGCAGATTTAATATTGACGAAAAGAGGGAGGTGATTCCAAACTTTTGGCCGGTAGTGTACATATGAGAATTTATAGAAAAATAAGGATCAACAGTCGCAATTGGTACCATTATTTTTCAAACATCTATCTTAGACTCGAATACGATTAAAAAATGATGGATCGAAAAGTAAAGAAACAGCGATAAAAAGGGTAATGACTCAAGTATAAAATTGCATATTAACGGAAGGAGTTTAGAAAGTGAAAGAAACGAGCGCGCCAGAGACGAGATAATTAGAGGAGGATTACGGTAATCGAAAGAAACATTGAAACGGAATTACTGTAATACGGTCGTGTCGGTGATGGTTGTTGAGCAACGAGAACCCGCCACTGTAGACAAGGGAATTATCTTTTACCGTGAATTGTGCCGCATTTCCAGCCAAATAATACGTATAATTATCGTCGGACGATCCATTTACGGTAAACACGGTTTAGCATTATCAATAGGAGGATTACGCGGTTACCTAATATAACAGAGTCCACGTCCGCCGTACGTATTTCTCCGATATTACGGTAATACACCTTAATATACAACGTCCATATAGCCTGTTGGTTCCGCTTCCTAATCATTTCGCGAAATAATTCTGCTTGTGCATCACGTAACAAGCGTCATACGCCAACCTGAGGGAATATATTACGAAGACAGTTGATACACCGATGTGATTGATCCTTAGAGGGGTGTATTCGATGCGAAAGGGAATAATGAATCGTTCGAAAAGTAGGATCTCTACCATGTAAACGACGACCGCGATAATTTCAAAGCGAAATTATGATCACGTCCATTTCCTGGATTAATTTCAATCTTTCTGTTAATTACTTCCTGCACTGTAAAATTCAATCCTGACCGGTATTACGTACGGCGACCACGGCAAGAAAGGACTTCGGGGCAAGAAACGTGGGTATGGAACGAGTTGGGACAGAATTTATGGAATTTCCTAGTCACATTCTTTGATCATGAAGCAGTCGGAACATTTTCGAATTAGATGATTCTTCGACTTTCTGAGAAAATCCTTTCACTTCAAAAAATGGTCCAAATGTTCAACAATATTTCAGTGTTTTTATTTTGGACTTTTATTAACCTAGAATTCACTTAAACATACTTCCAAATAACAATGTTATATTATTATACGAAGTGTTGAAAGTTTTGATTAATTGTGAAAAAACAACACGTAATGTTTATAAGTTGTTTATTACAATAAATAACTCCAGTGGAATGTACTAGTGAATGGTAAACTATTGTGGCGGTCCTAAGCGTGAGATTGTAGTTGGACGACGGCACTAGACTGACTATAGCTGGTTTCTTCGAGTCCTTGGGCCAGCAAGGGGTGCAATAAATCCAGGTCACGCACCGAGAGAGTACGCGCAGAGAGTAACTTTTTATAAAATATAGAAGCAATTAACTCTTTACCTTATCACGAGTCAGACTATAGATTCTATTGGAGGTGTGACAGAAACTTTTAATTCTAAATTTAATTTCAATTTTAAACAAAGAACGAATAACACATTAGTTTCTAAAATAAACTTTACGTTCACCTATATAGCCAGCAAAAAAAATCACAAGTAAAGAGGTTAAAAATGACAAAAAAAAATTCATCGTTACAATAATACAACAAACCTGGATACATATTACCCGCGGATTTAATAGAAAGTTCAGAAAATTTCCATCGTATTCACCCAATTTCCTTCATCTCGCTAAACAGCGTCCGTGAGCGCGCGAAACATCGAAACAGGCTATAGCGTCACTTTCACCGCGCCATGCCTCTCGTAGGGCGATCAATCGAATTACTATCTCTAATAGCGTGTGCGTAGACTGCGCCACGTGTGTACCACGTATCGAGAAAGTAATTTCGTCGATGTCGATCCTTTTTACCTTTTGTTACCCGCAAATATTTGCCCAAGTAGTTCGGCCGTGGAGTGTGTGATCGCGTATCGATACACGATAAACACGGATCGACGGCGTCTCG